CACTCTGTTGCCCAGGCTGAATGCAGTGGAGTGATCATAGCTCACTGCAGCCTTGACCTCCTGGGCTCCAGTGATCCTCCTGCCTCAGCCCCCCTGAGTAGCTGTGACTGCAGGCATGCACACCACACCTGCTTAATTTTTTTATTTTTTGTAGAGATACGGTCTCACTATGTTGTCTAGGCTGGTTTCAAACTCTCGGATTCAAGCAATTCTCCCACCCTGGCCTCCCAACGTGGTGGGATTATAGGTATGAGCCACCATCTGGGTCACCCCTTGTGATTTTAATGGCAGCTCCATGAAGTTGATGTGTTAGATGGAGAATGAGGCTCAGAGAAAGAGGCTGAGTGTCATTCTGCTAACAGAGCAGAGCCAGCATGTTTGACTCATCATCCATGCTTTGTGAATGACCCCCTGCTGTCCCTCACTCCAGCCTCTTTCAGGATTTTCTTTCTCCATGCCCTTCCCTGGGTAATCCTGTCTATAGCCTCTCCTAATGCTGTTCTGAAGCGTCCTGTGTCACTATGAATTCTTGGGTTGCAAACAACAGCAACCAACTTGAGCTGACTCAAACAAGGATAAAACTTAGAAGGCCAAGGAGCCTCACGCTGTATGACAGGGAAGGCTGAAGGACCAGCTTGGAAGTGTCAAGAATCAGATAGCTCTGAGGGTATCTCAGCAGCAGCAACTGCTCCATTCTCTTCCCTGGACAGCACAGCCTGCATAAATGTTTTCAGCCTTTGGCCACTGGGTTCATGATTTGCATTCAGAGTGGGAGCATCTCAGTGTGGCTTGCTTGGGTCATGGGCCTATCCACTGCCAGGTGAGGGCAGGACCCCTGATTAAAGAGCCCTCCCCATGTATGGACAGGATTCAGGGTTCCAAAATGGGGGTTACTACCACCAAAAGAGGTGTAGTGGATATAGGGCAGTCAAAATATGCTGGATCCACTATGCATCTAAGCTCCTTGAATGCCCTTCACCTATTTGTCATGAATATCTCTGCCTGGATGTTGAGTTACCTCAAACCCAGAATGCCCCTCCCAAACCCACATCTCCTTTTGACTTTACCTTTCTGTGAATGGAATGGGTGCTCTTCAGTCACCAGACTGGATCCTTGAGATTGCTTACATTCCTCTGCTCCCCTAGTCAGGGGCTGAGTGGTGAGCTACATCCACAAGTGTCCTAAATCCACCCCTCCTTTTCATTTTCATGGTTCCTGCTCTACTGTATCCTGTTGTTTCCTGAAACCTTGAGCATCCTAATCTGGGTCCTAACCTCCAAACTTAGACTTCTTCATCTGGAAGTCAGTAGCTGTCAAGTTAAAGCATCTCTCCCAGCACCTTGTTACCACCTGAGTTCAAAACCGTCAGGTACTTCCCCTTGTGTCACAACAACCGCCACCTACACTGTGCTTTGTGTCAGGCATGGTTCTAAATGTTTTATATATATGATCTATTATTATTATCATCATTATTATTATTATTTGAGACAGAGTCTCACTCCGTCGCCCAGGCTGGAGTGCAGTGCTACGATCTTGGTTCACTGCAACCTCTACCTCCTGGGGTCAAACAATTCTCCTGCTTCAGCTTCCTGAGTAGCTGGGACTACAGGCATGCGCCACCACACCAGGCTAATTTTTGTATTTTTAGTAGAGATGGAGTTTTACCATGTTGGCCAGGCTGATCTCAAACTCCTGACCTCAGGTGATCCGCCCACCTCAACCTGGGATTACAGGCATGAACTACCATCCCCGGCCTTACGTTTTATATATATAAACTCATTAAATACTCAGTGCATCCCTATCAGACAGTTTCTGTTATTATCCCTTTATTACAGTTGGGAAATCATGGAGCAAATAAATTAAGTAAATTTTTTAGCTGGATCAGAGCAGTTGAGTAACTTGTAATCAAGTGACGGTGTGGGGATTGGGACATTCTTTTGTTAGTTTGTTTTTGTTTGTTTGTATTTTTGAGATGGAGTTTCACTCTTGTGGCCCAGGCTGGAGTGTAATGTCACGATCTTGGCCCACTGCAACTTCCTCCTCCAGGGTTCAAGTGATTCTGCTGCCTCAGCCGCCCAAGTAGCTGGGATTACAGGTGCCTGCCACCATGCCTGGCTAATTTGTGTGTGTGTGTGTGTGTGTGTGTGTGTGTGTGTGTGTGGTAGAGATGGGGTTTTGTTATGTTGGCCAGGCTAGTCTCAAACTTTTGATCTCAGGTGATCCACCCTCCTCGGCCTCCCCAAATGCTGGGATTACAGGCATGAGCCACTGCGTCCAGCCTGATTTGGACATTCTTGACCCTGGTACCATGCTGTTCACTAAGCCAGGTAGTCTCCCTTAGCACATAGAAGTCCGTACCCATTGCATCACGAGACTCACTCTCCAGCCCCGTTTTCAACTTCGCTTTGCACATCCTGTATTCTAGGCAAATTGAGTGTCATAAAATATTGAGACATATAAGAATGACCATTTTGAGCACTCATAACTTATTCATCTCAATATTTTATGAGAAATTTCAAACATATGGAAAAGTTGACTTAATTATGCAGTGAGCACTCATCGTCATCACCTAGATTCTACAACTTATGTTGTACTAAATTTGCTTTATCACACATTTACCCATCTGTCTCTCTATCCACTCATTACTCATATCTTTTTTTCCCCTCATCTTATTTTTTGGATGCATTTTGAAGTAAATTGCACACCTTACCCCAGATGCTTCACATATGTTCCTTTTGCCTGGTTCTGTCGTCTCCTTTCTAAAATCCTTCAACATTTGCCTCTAATTTCACCCAGGTCTTTACGTACAACTCACTGCCTGCCTGTTCGTCTAAAGGTATACATAGACACATGCACAGTGTATCTATGGTATTCAAGTTTCATGGTGACAATGTTAGGAAAAGTTGTCTAAAAAGACTCCAGGAGTGGCGTGATGATGAAAAAGCTGAGAGGTGCTGTTCTAGGGTATATTTTATGTGGGGCCTTACATAGATATTTATGTAGATAAGTTTATATTTTATTAAATGGCTTTATATTATGAATGGCTTTGATTCTGGATTGCCCGTAGGGACAGACCTCTTCCAGGACAGAAATTTTGGCATAACAGGGCCTTAATAAAGAAAATGTGTCCCGTGTGTGGTAGACAACGGGTAGGGTGTGAAGAATAAATTTAGGGAAACTAGAAAGGTTGAATTACTCATTTTGGAAGTGGTAGGAGTCCAGAGGAGGTTGGTGGCATTAGGGCACACAGAAGCCCTGGGGTGAGACAGGCTAAAAAAATGACTCCCGAAGATATGAGATCCTAATGGCTGCATCTTGTAGCTGTTACCTGTATTAGTCTGTTTTCACACTCCTATAAAGGATTTCCTGAGACTGGGTAACTTACAAAGGAAAGAGGTTTAATTGACTTACAGTTCCACATGGCTGGGGAGGCCTCAGGAAACTTACAATCATGGTGGAAGAGGAAGCAGGCACCATCTTCACAAGGCAGCAGAAGGCAGAAGAGTGAGCAGCAAAGGGGGAAGCACTCTTTATAAAACCATCAGATCTCATGAGAACTCACTCACTGACACGAGAACAACATGGGGGTACCACCCCCATGATCCAATCACCTCCCACCTGATCTTTCTCTAGAGATGCGGGGATTATGGGGATTACAGTTCAAGATGATATTTGGGTTGGGACACAGCCAAATCATATCATTACCTTCTATGGTAAAGACTTTGGAGATGTGATTAAGAATCTTGAGATGGGGTCCATTAACCTGGATTATCCAGGTGGGCCCTAAATGCACTACCAATGTTCTTGTAAAAGAGAGGCTGGGGGAGATTTGAGACACACACAGGAGAAAGCTGCATGAAGACAGAGCAGAGCGAGAGTTGAAGATGCTAGATTTGAAAATTGGAGTGATGTGGTCCCAGCCAAGGAATTCTGGCAGCCACCAGAGTTGGAAGAGTCAAGGAACAGACTCTCCCCTAGAGTCTCTGGGAGGAGTGCAGCCCTGCTAACACCTTGATTTCAATGCAGTGAGAGAATAAGCTATTGTTTACAAACCCTGTTTGTGATAATTTGCTACAGCAGCCACAGGAAACAAGGAAACCAGGGGAATGCAAAGGACACAGGGACTGATAAACGGAGTGAAGGAAGCTTGTTCACCAAATTGAAAACCTAAAAGCTTCTTGGCCAGGCTTGGTGGCTCACGCCTGTAATCTCAGCACTTTGGGAGGCTGAGGTGGGTGGGTCACTTGAGGTCAGGAGTTTGAGACCAGCCTGGCCAACATGGTGAAACCCACTCTCTACTAAAAATACAAAAAACTATCCAGGTGTGGTGGAGGGTTCCTGTAATCCCAGCTAGTTGGGAGGCTGAGACAGGAGAATCGTTTGAACCCGGAAGGTGGAGGTTGCAGTGAGCCGAAATCATACCACTGCACTCCAGCAGCCTGGGTGACAGAGCGAGACATCGAAGCTTTGTCTCAAAAACAAAACAAAACAAAAACAAAAACAGAAAAACTAAAAGCCTGATTTGCCTGCAAAAGATAGCACTTATGTGAAAACTGACTCCCTGGAAAATGTGGGCAGGAATGATTTAGCAGGCAGGTGGCAGGTAGAGAGATTTTGTGTGGATGTGTTTGAAGTGATGGCAAGAGCCCAACCAAAGAAATGTGCAAGAGGCATCTAGATATTGAAGCTAAGGGGGACAGAGACAACACGCAGGGCTGTCCATCTAGAGGGAATAGGCGAGGCTGGTGAGAATGAGTGAGCCAAGGTTCAGGCTCAGGTTTCTCTTCTAATACACATACACTTCTTGTCCGAGAGAATTTGGGAGGTCAGGGGATTGAAAGAGCGTTGAGTTATGCTAAAGGCAGCACTGAATGTTGAGACTTCTACAGAGGCCCAGAAAGGGATGATATGGGCCCAGGAGGAAGCATGGACTTGGTCTGGAAGCATTTGAGTGACGGGAGGTGTATCTAATCTGGCTTCCTTTCCTCATTTCTTTGCAGCTTCCACCTGAAGCCAATAAAACCTCTGAGAACTGCCTGTCACCATCAGCTCAGCTTTCTCTAGGTCAAAGCTTTGTGCAAAGCCACTTTCAAGCACAATATAGGTAAGATGGGGATATGTTTAAATGTATCACCCAGGGGTTCAGCAAACTCATCCTGGTAACCAGTCTCCCATTGCCAGATTTACCGTGATTTCAAAACAACAAAACCCTTCTCTCTCCCATGATAAATCCTGATTGAGCACTCACTCTCGTTGTCTCTGAGCTTCACTGTTTCTTCTTTTCCTTCTTCTTGGCTTCTGGGCCCTCCACCTTACTTGAAGGAGGGGTGATAAGAGCGTGATTCTACAGAAGGTAAATGTGAGCTGGGATCTCACTGGCAAGCAGTCACTCTGAAGTTGGAGAGACCCTTCCTGTTTATTCTCTCTCCAGAGAGCCCAACTCGACAAGTGATTCTGAGCTCAAGATTTCCCAGCATTATGGAGGATATAAAAATATATATACAGCCTGGGCAATATAGGGAGACCCCATCTGTACCCACAAACTAACAAACAAAAAACCTAGCTGGGTGTGGTAGTACGTCTGTGGTCCCAGCTACTTGGGAGGCTGAGATAGGAGGATCACTTGGGCCCAGGAGGTCGAGGTTGCAGTGAGCTGTGATTGTGCCATTGTACTCCAGCCTGGGCAACAGAGTGAGATTCTGTCTCAAAAAATACAGCCTTTAACTTCAGAAAGTATGTGTTCTCCTTAAGCTCTTATATATAAAAGTGTAGAGACTCATACAAGGAAGACTATTTTCAATATAATGTTCAGCGAAAGCACTGACAGCATTGAAAGGTCAGAGGGGAGAAACCCCCATGGGCTTCTCAGAGGAAGTGTGTCTTTTGTTGGGCTCTGCAGGACGAATAGAAGTATGAATGGGTGGGAACATATTCAACAAGAACAAATACAAGCTTAAAGGTGGGAATGAGCACAGTGGCTAGGATTTAGATGAGGCAGCCATTGGTTACAGAGAGCCTCTTCTAAGTAAGATGCTTTGCCTGTGTTTGTGTGTGTGTGTGTGTGTATGTACACTCGTGTGTGCATGTGTGTGCCTGTGTGTTGCCAATATATGTATTCATGTATTTGTTTATATGTGTGTATATGTCTGTATATATTTAAGCCTTACAAAAAGTCTTGGGATGAGTATTAAAATCTGGGAGATGGGGTTTTTCTATGGACACATGGTAAGTGGCAGAATTAGGATTTGTCCTCTGAAATATTTTTCTTCTTCTTTTTTTTTTTTAATTTTACTTCTTTTTTTTTTTTTTTTAAAGATGGGGTTTCACCATGACGGCCAGGCTGGTCTTGAACTCCTGGCCTCAGGTGATCCACCCACCTCGCTCTCCCAAAGTGCTAGGATTACAGGCATGAGCCACCGCGCCCGGCCGTCCTCTGAAATTTCTTTAAAGGACAGGTCCTGCCTTTGCTTTCTTTACAATTCTTCTGTTGTTTTCCCAGCTAACCTTGTACATTCATTGTGATTCTCTGTTGCTCCTTCAGTTGCACAGAAACTCTGTTCTCTATTATGGATACCAAAAAGGTTTTTGGTGTTTTTCTTCTGGATGTTGCAGTAAATCATTTCAAAGCCATACTTTCCTCTCAGTCATCTGGATAATATTCCCTTTGCGTTGCTCTGCAGTGGTTTTTTGGAGGTCTCCAGGTGGTTTTCTTTTCTTATTTACTTTTCTTCAAACAAGGAAATAATTATTCGGTCTTCAAGAATTTCCTTACTTGTAGCCATTTACTTCTATACTTTTAGGGGATTTGTATTCTTTGTATTTTCACAGCAGGAGGTCACTTAAAATTTCCCAGAAACTATCCTGATTTTAGGATTTATATTATATTCAATAAACACTGAAAAGATAAATAGGATATAATGACTGTCTTTAAAGGTTCACTGTTTATTTAGGAAGACCAAATAGTCTTTGAAACTCAGCTGCTTTCCACTGGTGCAGAAGAATCTATAGCACTTGAGATGTTCTTTCTCTCTGCCTCACCAGGGAGGCGGACCCCGAAGAAACAGCCGGAATGACTGTTGGGGCTCTTGTCCCTGCTTGCAGTTGTTTAGCACACAGGGTAAAGAGGATCTCACCTCTACGAGCCCAGATTTCACTGTCTGTGCCTGAAGAAAGCCCTGCTCGTTTCCTGGATGTGGTAACCCTCCAGGAGGTATGCAGAGAAGAAACCTAGACTTTGTGGTCACCAGCCTTGAAAGCTACTGGCCATGAAAGTCACTTGTAGGGCATCTGTCTTGTCTTCAGCGTGCTAGAACTGAAAATAAGGAGACAGAGGAAAAGCATAGGGGAAGAGAAAGAAGAACATCTAGGATGAGGGACAGGAGAGTATAAGGTGAGGGCGTGTTAGAGAGAGTGGGGAGGGGTCACCAATCATCACCGGCAGGTCACATTCATTTGTGTCCTTGTACAATTAATTCACCTATTTTTCCGTTCATGTCCCCTCTTGTCCACATACTCTTTTTTCCTTCTTTCAAACATTCAAATGCCCGCTATTGTGCTTGTCCAGTAGTTACCATGAGGAGTAGAACTCCTGGCCAAATCCTTGTTGATGCTGTAGATATTTCATTCATGCCCTACTGTGTGCTGGGTTCTCTGCTGTGAACAAGACTCAGCCCCTGTTCTCATGGAGCTCACATTCTATGTGGGGGAATGTTGGATAATGCACAAGAAAACAACAACCGGTGATAGCCATCAGCGGAAAGATAAAGAGAGGCCACTTGGGAGGCAGGGAGGTGGCCAACATTCCATAAGGCAGGCAGGGAAGGCTTCTTTTCAGAGGGACAGTGGAGCTGAAAATGGAGTGACAAGGAGTCTACCATTTTAATAGCTAGGGTCAGAGTATTCCAGGCAGAGGACACAGCACAGGCAAAGGGCCAGAAGTGGGAGTAACCCTGCCAAGTTCAAGGAATCGAAAGGCCAAGGTAGCTGCCAAGGGGTGAGTAGGTAGGAGATGGGCTGGAAAGGTGGGTGGGGACCTGGTAGGACAGGTTTTCAGTCCAAGTGTGCGGGTTTTAGTCTCAAGGGCACAGGAAGCCACTGCAGAGTTAAAGGAGGGAGTGGTCATCAGTTTCAGAGGTGACTGCTTTTTTTTTTTTTTTTGGAGATGGAATCTCATTCTGTCGCCTGGCCTGGAGTGCAATGGCATGATCTTGGCTCACCTCAACCTCCAGGTTCAAGCCATTCTCCTGCCTCAGCCTCCCAGGTAGCTGGGACTACAGGCAGGCACCACCATGCCTGGCTAATTTTTATATTTTTAGTAGTGACAGGGTTTCACCATGTTGACCAGACTGGTCTCGAACTCCTGACCTCAAGTGATCCGCCTGCTTTGGCCTCCCAAAATGCTGGAATTACAGGCGTGAGCCACCACACCTGGCCCAGAGGTGACTGCTTTTTATGAGCAATGCAGGGAGGCAAGAGGAGGCAGGAGCAACAGTGAGTGCTGCCACTGTGGTCCCAGGGGGAGAGTGATGGTGGCTGGAAATGCAGAGATGGCAGTAGAGATGGAGAGAAGTGGAGGCATTTGGAGTATGTTTTTGGTTGGAGAGTCAGCATCTTTTCATTGGTCCTCCACCCCTCACCCCAGTCTTTCTAATGGGTTGAAGGGTGGAGGGACTAAGGGAGAGATGAGAATCTAGGGTGACTCCTGGCTTTTTCTATGATTATAAACTGGCAAATGCTTTGGAGGAAAAATCGAGGGTGCTTTGAAGTACATGCCTGACTTGGTGTGGGATGAGTCGGGGGTGGGGAGGACGTCTGAGGAAGTGACATTTGAGCTGATTGGATATTAAGGACCATCGGTGCCCTTTGGGTATTTTTCCTATAGCACGATGAGTAAGAGGCGAGGTGTTCACGCTAAAGATGAACTGGTGATGGCTAAAAATGCCTGCTTTGTGCCTGCTGATAAAGAAAAAGTGTCATCAGGGATGCCTTGAGGTCTGAGAGGTGGTTTTCTGCAGTGGTCAGGAGGGGCAGTGCCTGGCTGGTGGCTCCTGCTGTCCATGACTCTCTACTGGCTTCCTCTCCCTGGGGAGGGCTTGCCTGGGATAGCATCAGCCTTCTTGATAAAATCGAGAGATGGATGTGTTATGATGGGTTAATTCAGAGGCACCTCCCCTTAATCCCCTTTTAAGGGACTGAGTTTTTGACTTTGGCTGGGGGAGAAGAAGAGCCTCCAGTATTAGAGCATGAAAGATCCTGGGCTATAGCAAATATAATTAGTTATTCTATGTGATCATCATCATAGTATAAAAGTGTCTGCAAGTCTAACAACCAACGGTTGTGGCTATGTTGGAGTTTTGGCTGGAGGAGGGACTGTGTGTGTGTGTGTGTGTGTGTGTGTGTGTGGGTGTGGGTGTGTGCGCGCGCGCGCGTGCGTGCGCGCACACATGCACACAAATTCTCCATGTTCATCATAGCCTTTATTCATAGCAAGTCTAAGGATGTTTTTGAAGGCTTCCTCAGAACAGATCTTGGAAAGGTGAGATCTTGCTTACGTATTGGCTTAATTATTGTTGGGTGCAGAGACATCAGATCCACTGTCCAATGAGCAGGTAAAGTAGACCGGGTTTGAGGTGAAAGATGTGTGTGTATTTGGCAGCAGTTAAAAGGCAGAGTGATAGGAAATACAGGGGCAAGCCCTGGGGCTCATTTGTGGGTATCTGTAGCAGGTGGAAAAGCAAACTGCAGCTCTCAGTTTTGGTAGCACTGACGCGGTTAGCTTTATAACAGAAACAATTTGACAAGGAGAATGAATACCTTAGGGAAAAGGGCCCGTGAACACTGAAAGGCAGCGGGGTGACTTTCTGTTCCTTTTCCCTGTGAGTGCGCTTTTGGGACAACAGGGCAGGACTGTTAATGTCCTGGAGGGAATGGTGAGGATGAAGGCATTGTCAGGCCACATTGGGGCATTGCTCTAACTTGGTGACATAGCCAGAGCTTTTTTTAAAAGTGATGCTGACGCTGTATCTTCTTCCAGATCTATTGGTCACATCAGTCTGTCCTCATTTCTCAACCTTTGATACATAGATGTATTTCATATATTTCCTATAGTTTATTATGAAAACATTATATTTTTTCATTCTTCATTTTTTTGAGACAGAGATTTGCTCTCGTCGCCCAGGCCGGAGTACAGTGGCATGATCTCAGTTCACTGCAGCCTCCGCCTCCTGGGTTCAAGTGATTCTCCTGCCTCAGCTTCCCACATAGCTGGGATTATAGGCACCCGCCACCACGCCCGACTAATTTTTGTATTTTTAGTAGAGATGGGGTTTCCCCATGTTGGCCAGGTTGGTCTCAAGTTCCTGACCTCAGGTGATCCACCTGCCTTGGCCTCCCAAAATGCATGAATTACAGGCATAAGCCACCATGCCTGGCCAACTTTTTCATTCTTTAAATATAAAATTGGCCTATTCTATTTTTTTTCCACAAACCACACATCACTTACTACCTGATAGGAGTTGGCGGCTCAATGTAAAAGTCATGTTCCTGAACCAGTTTATTGGTTTTTTTTTTTTTTTTTTTTTTGAGATGGAGTCTCACTCTTATTGCCCAGGCTGGAGTGCAGTGCAGTGATCTTGGCTCACTGCAACCTCCACGTCCCAGGTTCAAGCAATTCTCCAGCTTCAGCCTCCCGTGTAGCTGAGATTACAGGACTGCGCTATCATGCCCAGCTAATTTTTTATTTTTAGTAGAGATGGTGTTTCTCCATGTTGGTCAGGCTAGTCTAACTCCCAACCTCAGGTGATCTGCCCGTCTCGGCCTCCCAAAGTGCTGGAATTACAGGCATGAGCCACTGTGCCTGGCCCCTTAACGAGTTTAATATGTTGCAATTCTTCAAGAAAAATGCAACCCATCATAGTTTTAGTAGGCTGAAAAACATGAAGACATCAATGGAAAACATTCTCTCTCATTGGTTCATATAATTGTGAAATAGGAATTTGGGAATTTCCCAATCACCAAAGTATATCCTTCAGGCCAATTTTTTGCCTAGGTACGTGATGGGCAGAGGGGTAGAAGGATTGGAGGAGAGGTAGAGTGGCAGAGGAGACCCCAGAAATGTTGGGCTTCTGGCTGGCTGGTGCTCACTGTCTATTAGAGTGTTTTCTTCTCTTTTTTTTTTTTTTTTTTTTTTTTTTTT